TTACAGTAATGAAGTAAATACGTTTCACACAACAGATATAAGCACTGATATATCATGAATTATGCAGAGCTGAAAACTGGTAACTAACCTGTTTTCAAGTCTAAGTGTACGGATTACAGAGGCAACAGTAAATCGGCTTAGATTAGGCTGAACCCTCCGTCCAGCCTCTCTCATCGTCAAACCATGGTTGATAACATTTCATTTCATTAGAGAGTGCTCTTCCTCCTCCTCTCACTCTCAGCCCAGCTCTTGCTCTTGCTCTTGCTCTTGCTCTTGCTCTTGCTCTTGCTCTTGCTCTTGCTCTTGCTCTTGCTCTTGCTCTTGCTCTTGCTTCCATGTTGGCTTCCATTGTTGCTGTAAGAAAGTACTCACCTGTGGTCTTTTTATAGTGCTAACATCCTGATTGATGAGCCGACAATTATGCTATCAGGTGTTTGGTCAGGTGGAACGTTTTTCTTGATTATTGGTCCATGTATAAGGCATTTTGAATATCAGTGTTTTAAACCAGCTAACACGTGACTGTATGTCAGATTCCTGTGTCTTACGTGGAGAAACGTGTGAAGTGGTTTGCAAAAAGTGCCATGTTGATTTGCAAATTGAGTGAAAACGTGTTTAGAGTTTTGGAGATTTGAGCCGATGTTTTGCTCTTTGAGTGTCAGCTAAAATAATTGTGCTTTATTTATCATTTTAGTGTGTTAGCAATCGAGAAAAACTGTAATAGAGATTGTTTTGTTTGTTGCTGATTCTTCACATCAGAGTCGTTTTTCTCTCTATTTCCAGGCTTGGCTGATTTACCTCTGACTGTGTTATGATCCTATTTTGTTGATTGCTTTCTGTGACCTTTGATAAACGGCAATTTCCACCTGATTACAGCAGCCTATTTACTCTAGAGTCTTTGGGATGTCAATCAATCCATCATTCAATCCATCAATCAAATCTAAATTGTAGAGCTCAATTTAACACATTTACTCAAGGGGCCTTTTAACTCTGTTCAACATCCTCTGTCCTAAGATCTTTGCAGCAAAGAAATAAAAGTCCCTAAAAGACATTTGGGAAATACTCTGGGGAAAATGGAATACAACTCAGAGAGAGCAAAAGAGAAGGGGAACAGACGGGACGATTTCATGTGAATATAAAAATGCATGTACAGTATATACAGTATACTGAATGTATTTGTATGTATTTTTGCAAGAATTTTATTATGTATTATGTTTTAGTGCTCAAAACCCTCCAAATTTTATTTCCACCAGTGCTTTTACTTAAGTATATAATCTGAGTGATTCTTCCATCTCCATCTCTGCCTTTCTTAGCCTCTTTCACATAATACATTAAATAATACATTACATTTATATATCGCTTTTCCTGGTGCTCAAAGCGCTATATAGTGATTATTAGTGGTGTAAAGTAACTACAGTAGGTAGGACATACCGAAGTACAATTTTCACTTTCAATTTTACCCCAGTCGATTTAGAGGTGAAATTTTACTTTTACTCCACTCCATGTATTTAATATTGTTAATTACTTTGCAGATTTGGAAAAGTGATATAATATGCAATATGATAAACACTTAAATACAATATTAGTTACACTTGGAGTAAATCCACATGCTACCCTGCTAGCTGCACCTTTACCAGCTTTGATAACACTTTAATGCATCAATAATTATAATCAAAACATATGATGTATACTTTTCTGAAATAGGCCAATAATAACTACTTTTACTTTTGGTAGTTTAAGTATATTATTATTTTTATGCCATTACTTTAGTACTTTTACTTGAATAACATTTGCAACGCAGGACCTTTACTTGTAACTGAGTATTCCTACATTGTGGTACTTCTACGTTCACTTAGGAACAAGATCAGAGTACTTCCTTCACCTCTCATAGTGACAGACCGTTAAAACCGTTAAATTGATCATGCTGCTATGACAGCCTCCCCTAATTAATAATGAAGCACAGGTGTGTTGTGTCCGCACCTCTCCCTTCTCCTGCCGTTTGACGTTTACATTAAAACATAACGTGATTAAAGTAACAGATAATTATCAAAAGCCACTCATATGTTGGCTTAAAATGAAGGTGCCAGAGGATGAATTAATGAGCGATATTTTGAAGCGTTTAACGGGCGAGTCAGCCCTCCCTTGCTACAGCAACATAGTGAAGTATAAGAGAGGAAGGCAAGGAGTATACTTCGTGGCCGAGGAATTCATTGAATCTGTGAAGAAACGAGAGCAAGTCAACGCCAAGGAACGACTGAGAGTGAGTAGAAGAGTGTGAAACGCAGGAAAATGTTTACTAATGTGTTTGACAGCAGGCTAACGTAAAGTGAGCAGTTGCTATCACGTACCGCTAGCTTAGACATGTAGCTACTTAGCTGTCGAAGTCACAACCAACGTTACTTGTAATGGTAATTAACTTTTAAGAAGTGAAATTGGCCATTGTGCAGAATGATATATCTTACTTTTTCCACTTTAAGGACTTTTTGATGCTAATAATTTTGTACTTTTGCACTTTTACTTAAGTAACATTTTGAAATCAGGACTTTGAGTGTTTTAAGACCATAGTATTTGTATTAGCATCAAAATATACTACTATGTAAAGTACCAAACGTAAAGGTCCATTTCAGAATAATATAAACTACAGAAGTATTATTGGCTTAACTTACTTCAAGTATCAACAGTAAAAGTACTCATATGCAGAATGGATTTTTTTTTTTTACAGTATTACACTATTATGTTATCATTATGTTGTATGTGTTGTAGTTGGTCAATGCCGATCAAATGTATACATAACTAACACAAAGATGCAAAATGAGCTAAAAGACTCTTGTTCTTTACATGTCTGTGCCTAGGCGCCGGTTTGCTCATAAATTGTCCATGCATGTTCTTATTCATCACCATTGTATTTGCTTTATTCAAGTATCATTAATGTGAAACTCAGCCTCTCTTCTGTGTAGATAAGGAACTTGAACACCATGTTTTCCCGCCTGAAGCGCATGGTCCCACTGATGCGACCAGACAGAAAGCCCAGTAAAGTGGACACACTCAAAGCTGCGACAGAATACATAAGATTGCTTCTTGCAGTTTTGCAGGACGCCGACAGTGTAAGTGCTCTGTTCATCAGGACTCTTATCAAATGACAAGTGTCCACTGTTATTTTCAAAGGGCAGCATTGCCACTTATTTTGTATTTTTCATTAGTGTTATTTTCTATTTCTCAGAATACTGTCAGTGGGACTGATTTCCTCAAGAATGCAATCACTTATGGCCAGACTGATGTCTTGGGAAGTGATCTATGGCGAGTGGATGATGTGAGTGTTTGTTTTTCCACCTTGCTGTTATGACAGTTTGAAAATTGACCTGTCTTCTTGTATCTGTGAAACACCTTCTAATTGGCTTTTTTATGTTATCTCCTGCACTTAAAATTATGTCTATGAGGTAAAAAACTGACTTTGAGGCTTTAAAGTAATAATTCAGATTGTTTTAAAGAAAGGTTGTTATCCATAATCAGTGTATTCTGAAGGAAAGGCCTACCAAAAATAAATAAATATTAGTTTAGGTGTACGTTACATTACAGTTTTTCTCGATTGCTAACACATTTCTTTTTGCTCAGTTTCTCAGAACACTAAACACAATTCACAAAACCACACACCCAAAGTGAGCATTTCTCCTGCTAAATGAAGAACTGCACTCAAAACTACATAAACACTTACCAAATGCAAACTTTTGCACCAAATACACTTCATTCATAATACTAGCTTGTTTGACTACACACTGCTGAGCATTCTAAAGCACTTTCATCTGTTATGGGCTATGCTCTGTACATAGAGGTTTCTGCAGAGAAAGATTGCTTGAGTTTACAGAAATACAGTAAAGGAAGAAATACAAATGAGTTGTTGAAAAAAAATCACATTTTATTCAAAAATAACATCATCCATCTCAGCACATAGTTATACTATGCTTCGGAACTCTCTAAGTGTGATGGCATTGTTTGCCAACACCCAGTTTGTAACTGCTGCTTCCTGTGCCTCATTGAACATCCTTAGCCTTCCACCTGCACCTCTTCTTTTCTCAGTCCTTCAGATAAACAACAAAGATGTAGGGATTGGTCAGTTTCTGTGTTGCATACAAGTAAGTTTACCACAGTAAATAGTGCAGGATTTTTGTACAGTTATAGTCTGCAACATGCCAACAATTCAATGACAGTAATGAAGTAAATACGTTTCACACAACAGATATAAGCACTGATATATCATGAATTATGCAGAGCTCAAAACTGGTAACTAACCTGTTTTCAAGTCTAAGTGTCCGGATTACAGAGGCAACAGTAAATCGGCTTAGATTAGGCTGAACCCTCTGTCCAGCCTCTCTCATCGTCACACCATGGTTGATAACATTTCATTTAATTAGAGAGGACTCTTCGTTGTCCTCTCCCTCCAGCTCTACCTCTCATTCTTCCTCCTCTCACTCTCAGCCCACCTCTTCCTCCTCCTCTCACTCTCACCCCACCTCTTCCTGCTCCTCTTCCCCTTGCTCTTGCTTCCATGTTGGCTTCCATTGTTGCTGTAAAAAAGTACTCACCTGTGGTCTTTTTATAGTGCTAACATCCTGATTGATGAGCCAACAATTATGCTATCAGGTGTTTGGTCAGGTGGAACGTGTTTCTTGATTATTGGTCCATGTCTGAGGCATTTTGAATATCAGTGTTTTAAACCAGCTAACACGTGACTTTATGTCAGATTCCTGTGTCTTACATGGAGAAACGTGTGCAGT